AAAAAAAAAAAAAAAAGAAAGAAAGAAAAAGAAAGAAAGAAAAGAAAAAGAAAAAAAGTACAGGATAACCACAGCTAAATGTGTTACACTTAGGGTGATTCCATGTCTCAGTTAGGCCTTCTGTCCTGTTATTCAAAATTTCAGGATCTAATCATTCCAGTTACACCAAAAAGACATTATACCTTTCAAAGAGTTAAAAGTTTTTATACAATAAACCCATCCTAATTCTAATACTACATCTCTAATACTATGCTGAACACAAATATCTGGATAGTAAAGAAGATTCTATTAAGACAGAAAAGTTTCTGAAAGACTAAAAATACAGCTGTTAAGATGTTAGACTAAAAACAAGGCCATAACAGAAGTTTATGAGATTGTTTTTGTAAGTACAACATCAAACAAACTGAAGTATATAGACAGTCGATTAAAACTTTTTCATTATTTTAGCCCTGTCACTGAATATTAAAATAGAGATATATAATTAGGGATAAACTCTTCATTAATCATAAACTCCTACTATCGTGTGAATGTTCTTCATACCAGTGTATGTTGAGAAATATTTTAGTATTTTAAAAAAATCATACATACTATGCATGCAAAAACTTCCAACTGCCAGGGAATTAATTTCAAGGTATACAAATCTATAATTTCTAAGAGGTCAGCTACTTTTAAAGTTGTTCACCAAGACTGCATATTTTTTTGTTAAGCATAAATTTCACTGAACTGAACCAATACATGGGTAAACATGTTTGGGATACAAAAACTTATTTCATAATGGATTTTAAATTTATTACTATTTCATTCCTATTTGAAGATGTGCAATTGATTTTTTTTTAAATATGAACTGGTTTCTTAGATGGAATAAATGTCACACCCAAAAACAAAAGTCATTTAATTACAATGGAGTTTTATTTCATTATCCTGAAAGAAAATGGCAATATAAGCAGATTCTGTATTTACTTACTGCCACCCAGTCCAGTAAAAATTTTTCTCATTACAATTTTAAAACTTAAGAAACTAAAAGCTACAATAAATCACTTGAAAAGGTGAGAAGTACTGACCTACGGAAATGCAAAGGGAAACTAGGATTCTAATATTTGGGATAAAGAGTTAAACTAGAGGGTATAATATTCTAACATTCCAGATGGTAGACTGGATAATAGAAAATAATTTTAGAATATCTATCTCTTAGGGATTCTCCAAAATTATCTAAAGATTTCTGCTTATTTCAGTTAAGGATCATTCTGTGATAAGAATCACAGAAAAGTCTACAAATATTTCCCAATCTGATTTGAATTATGATACAATATAATAAATAAAAAGGGACAAATTTCAAAAAGGGGAAAGACTGGATTTTTTACCAAATACCACCCTCTCCCATTAAGCAGCACAAGGCTTTGCAAAGGTCAAGCCAAATTTACATGAAATGGGTTTGGCGCATGCTCTCTTATACCAGGCAAAGCTTAAAACTGGAGTAGTGCTGGAGAGATTTACGTTTTCTCCTCACCAGAAGAAGTCGAGGTCTTTGTGGTTCAAAAGCTGAGGGATGTTGCTTCGGAGATGGAGGTCCCTGTGGATGAAGAGGATAATTCGGATGTAGCTAACTGAATGGACTAATTTTCTACTTAAGTTTTAATTATTTGATGGTGGATTACAATGATTTTTTTTTAATTAAGATGTTTTTTTTTTGGTTTTGGTAACTTTAAAGTTTTCCCAAAACTTATTTGGGGGATTTCTTCATAATGCTTAAAAAGTTCATGGAGAAAGATTTTTTTTTCAATTTATATTTTGAGAGCATGAGGGAAAAACAGACCCAAAAAAAAGAGAGAAAATTAATGAAGCAAAAATTCCTGTGTGTATACTCCAGTCCTTAACATTGTATTTCTTTTTATTTCAGACCTAATTAGAGCCAAAACCCTGAATTCCATCTCCTGTGTATATAAATGCTCTCTCACCCCATCCTTTTAGGATAGTAGTGTCTAGTCACTCTGTAGGGAGATCTTCCATTCTGTGATGAATTTAAAACTAATTAAGAAAGTTTTATATTTGGGAAAATATTACTAAATACCACTAAGTGTTTTCTTTGAAGACCCAACCCACCCAACTTGTTTCCAGACCATAGGAATAAAGATAAGCCCATTTCTGTTATCTGTGAAGTGGAAGACTGCAGTCCTGCCTTTGACATGGACATTTTTCTCTTAACTTTAAGCTTATTTTCCTTAATAAAATTTCTGAGAAGGGTCAGTTCCTAAATGGAAACATTGTAGTAATATTAAGGATATCCAGCACTCAATGAAAGGCATATTATCACTGAGCTTTGTTAAGCAAAACCTAATGATAGTTAAAATTCTAACTTGGAAGTGTTGAAACTTTGAATGAAATAACTTTCAAGTTTTATGAAGCCAGAGCCATCTTATTGCACAACCAAAGATATAACTATACTTGTTCACATTTCAAACATAAGGGGAAAAGGAGGCTGAACAGAATAAACAGTGACAATCAAAGAATTCAAAGAGTAGCACTCACCAACACATTTTTCGGCTAGTTCACCTAAAAAAGCATCTGACAATTTTGGATTCCAATCCCTGGTATGGATCTGTAAGATGTGTTTTCTTGCCTAAGAAGAAGAAGATGAATAAATACCATCAACTCCTCAAATATACTAGCTGGAACAAATTTTGACTAGCCATACCACCAAAAAATGATTTTTTATTTTAAAAGCAATTTAAACACCTTAACATCCATGTCAACCTGAGGCATTATTCCCTCAAACACAAAACAAATCATATAAAAAAGATAAATTTACTGACTCGATGAGGAATCTGGGGTCCAGCAACCAAAACAATCTTATTTCCTCAACACTGCTACCTGTGCTTGCTTGAAACATGAAAAATCATAATCAAGACAATCTTACTGACTTGATATGGAATTTAGGGTCCAACAACCAAAAGACGAACAACTTCAAAATCATAAAGATAAATCTTGCTCAAAAAATGGACCAAATCTAGAATTAATAGCCGTAGATTCAATTGCAAGTTCAAAGTTAGGAGTTCCAGCTACATGACACTTATTTTCTTCCACCTTGAAGTATCTGCCTGACTAGATCCACAAAAAGTAAAAAATCAAAGTCCAAGAAAAATATTATATGACAGCTTATAAACCCTATGATATTAAGAATCTAAACAGATTTCATTAGCAGCATAGCTACTGCTTATTATTAGACCCTTAGAGCATCAAAAACATGTCAAAAAAATGTAACCTTAAATATACCTCAAAAAGATCTATCCTATCTCCTCATTTTATGAAATAAGTAATGAAGGTCTGACATACTAAAATTAATTATCTAAGACCAGAAAGTTATTATGAGGTCTCTAAAACATTTAAGTAACATGCTCTTTATATAACCCAATCAGACTCACCTTTCTTTTACTATACTAAAATCAAGACATAAAGAAAAAAAATGATTTAAATGAAGAAACGAGGAGGTGCTTATTATGTTTTTTAATCTCCAAGGCATATAGAATAATAAGTCATATGGCTTCCCCTAATACAAAGTACCTTCTTATCTATGAAGTGAAAGACTACAGTCCTGCCTTTGACATGACCTTTTTCTCTTAACTTTAAGCTTATTTTTCTTAATAAAATTTCTGAGAAGGGTAGACTCTTAAAAGAAGACACTGTAGTAACATTAAGGATACCCAGCACTCAATGATTAAGGCATATAATCACTGAGCTTTGTTAAGCAACAATGACACCTAAGGCAAATTCAAACCTCTCACTTTTTAGGATTCACAAGTACACACATACATATACATATGTAAAGATAATGACAGCTACGACAACAAAGGAAAATAAAAAAGAAATGAAGCGTTGTTGCACATAGAAGATATTACTATTTTATGGTAAAGAAGAGTTAATGAAATTATTAAAATCTAGAATCAAAACCTAATTTTGTTGAACTTTTACTTGGTGAAATGGCCAGAGTCACGATTTTCTATTGCCAAAACCATAGCATAATAAGAGTCACTGACTCCTGTTGGTTTAAATTAGAGACTTAAATAGATTCTTATTACTACCCTTAATACTTCCTTCTCTAGGCTATTAATTAAGATATTGTCCTGGCACATAGTTTAAGGCAGAGCTTCATGTTCAGCTGATGACCTTGCTTCCTAACTCAGAGAATACTGAAACAATCGGAAAGACTTCCATATTTTCTCCACACCACCAGACTGTGTATCTAAAAAGTCTTGTATTCCTCTATTGTCAGAGATCAACTAATCATTCTTGTCTAAAGTCACTCTTGCCACTTGATCACTAAGTCCTATCCTCTCTTGCTTAGTAAGGTTACCTCTAACTTTCATCATAAAAACTTCCTTTTCTACTGAGGATTTCTCAACTTAAAAACAACAAAAGACATTCTCTCATTGACATTTCCCTAACATCAGCTCAATTCTGTGATTCCTTTTTTAACAAAATTCTTTGAAAAACTTACCTATATTAACTTCCACCAATTTCTTCCAGTTCTCTCTTGAACTAACTCTATAGAAGTCAAGCTTTTACACCAACCACTTACTAAACTTCTCTCATGACAATCAATGGCCATCTATATATAATGTTAAACACAATGACCAATTTTCTGTCCTTTTCTGATTTGACTTAGCATCATGTGACACAGTAAATCACACTGCCCCCACTGATAAACTTTTTCTCAAATGGCTTCCAAAATATCACACTCTCCTCATTCTTCCTTTTACCTAACTGACAAAAGGCATGATAATCTCATCTAATCTCATGCCCTTAAATACTATGTAAGAGAAAAAGGGAAACAGCCTTTTCCAAAGACCCAAGCTTGAGAAAATGATGCTAGATTTCAGTCTTACATATAGCTGAGGATATAGCTCAGTTAGTAGAGTGCTTGTCTCGCATGAACAAGGCCCTGGGTTCAATATCCAGCACCCAAAAAATAAATAAATAAAAAGAATAGTTTCCTTGACGTGCTAGAAAACTAATGGGCAAAAATTATGTCTGAGATCTATACAATATAGGAAGTCATTGGTCTCATAATGGAATTTTCAGTTTAAATTAGCGAACATTAACAAAATATAAACATAGCTTCTTTAGTCACATTAGTCACATTTTAGTGCTCAATAGTAACTTGGGTAGCAGCTATCATACTAGATGGTGCATCAATGGCCAATGGAAATAATACATTTTTCTTCATCACAAAAAGTTTTATCAGATAACTTTGCTCTGGCCCTTGTTTACTCTTAAACAAGGGAAATCAAGGAAATAGCTTTCCTGGGCTGTAGGGACACTGTCTGTATCTCTTAGAACTAAACGTGTTCCCTTTGTACTAGTACAGCCAAAACTCTGTGCTTAGACTGTTATATGTTTTCTCTATGCCAAAATAGATGTTTTCTCCATGCCAAAATAGACTACACCTACCACTTTTGCCTTGTCTCCTACAACTAAACTCCCTTCTATGACTGGGGCACTTTCCTAGAAGTTGTACCTGGGCAACAAAAATGACATATAAGTTTCCTGTCCTGACAAAGAAAAGTTATCTTACTGCCTGGACTCAAATACAAATCTGAGTCAACAAGTATCAACTATGCAAACTGATGTCAAATTGATGTATTAACTGTTCTACACAGGGGAGCCTTCATTTTGCTATAGTGTTCTTCACAATTCTAATCACAAAGCCTTTCACAACTATGTATGTAAACCAGGCAGTTCACATAGAATGCTAAGATCAAAGCCATACAATAATACATACTCTTTTAAAAAATTCACTGTAATGAAAAACATATACTGCTTTTAATTAAATATATGATTATTACTATGAAAGTTTGGATACTGGGTCCTTAATAAGATAAAAACTATTTTGGTTAACTAGAGACACAAAATCACCATGCAAGATAATTACTACATTCTGGAAAACTAAAGAAAAGAGTAAGTAAGCATCTACAATAAGATAATCAAGAACTCTCCTCTTAGGCTGGGGATGTGGCTCAAGCGGTAGCGCGCTCGCCTGGCATGCGTGCGGCCTGGGTTCGATCCTCAGCACCACATACCAACAAAGATGTTGTGTCCGCTGAGAACTAAAAAATAAATATTAAAAAAAAAAAGAACTCTCCTCTTGCGCGGGGGTTATGCCTCAGCCCAAGTGGTAGAGTACAGCCTAGCATGTGTTAGGCATTGGGTTCAATTCTCAGCACCACATACAAATAAATAAAATAAAGGTCCATTACCAACTAAAAAATAGTTAAAAAAAAAAACTTTCCTCTTACTTCCTAAAAATTATAAACTTTATGATAATTGCTAATAGGAAAAAAATAAATTGTTTAATAATGGAGGCATAAGGTTTATAAATTTTTAACTAAAAAATTTGAACAATGAAAATTCATAAAATATCAACCAGAGTAGGTGTGTGTTCCGGTGTGCACATATTTATGTATACACACACGCACACACTCTTACTTTATAATTGAGTTACATATAAATATTAACATACTAAAAACAAAAACTCTTACTTTTTGATCAGGCAAGTTGAAAAGGAATTCTCTATCAAAACGACCAGGTCTCCTGAGTGCAGGATCTATAGAATCAAGTCTGTTTGTAGCACCAATAACAACGATTTCGCCCCTATTATCTAATCCATCCATTAGAGCAAGGAGGGTTGACACTATTGAGCTGCAAAAAATTTTCAGACAAAATTTGAAAAATGTTAAATGACAGAAAAAAACTGTAAATACTGCTGATTACACTTTTTTTTCACTCCTAAATGTTAATAAAATGATTATACTGCAAATGCCTATTAATACAACATCAAGTGATTACAGAAATCATTTTTGAAAGCACCCAGAAAATACTATAACAAAAAGTTAAAGCACAGCAGTAAAAAAAAAAAAAAAAAAAAAAAGATAAAATGGACTTGGTCAAAACTGAAAACCAAACTGGGAGTGTGGTTCAGTAGCAGCATTCGTGTTTAGCATGCACAAGGGCCAGGGTTCAATTTCCAAGACCATAAATAAATAAATAGATAATAAAAAGCAAAAAAATTTAAACACTTTTCTGCTTCAAAGAATGTGATCCAGAAAGTTAAAAGACAAAAAACCCAAAGAAGAAACTATTGGCAAACAATATATTTAATAAAGATCTAGATTTGGAAATATCTGTTACAACTGAACAATAAAAAGACAAATAATCAAACCTAAAAACAGGCAAAAGATTGAAATAACATTTCTCCAAAGATGATATACAAAGGATACATCATTATACTAGGCATATGCAAATCAAACCAAATAAGGTGCTCTTTGACCCCACTAGGATGACTTATTATAGTCAGATGCAGCAAGTGTTGGTAAGGCTGTTGAGAAAGAAGAACACTCAAACATGTGATGAAAAGGAAAAGTGGTGTGCCTCTTGGAAAAGAGTCTGGCAGTCCACCTCACCATTAAACAGTTACCATATGACCCAGCAATGCCCCCCAAAAATTTATACATGAATGTTCATATCAGCTTATTCATACTAGCCAAAAAGGGAATAAAAGCTAAATGTCTATCGACTAATAAATAAAATACATGCAAAAAGTGGAATAATAATACTCAAAAAGTTATTATAAAATTATAAAATAATACTCAATAAAAATGAAGCCAAGTATGGTGGCACACACCTATAAATTCCAGGAGGATCTCAAGTTTGAGGCCAGCTGGCAACTTAGGGAAATCTTGCCTCAAAAAAATAAAATAAAATGGGGTGGAAATGTAGTTCAGTGATACAGTGCTTTCCTGGCATGGATGAGGCCTTAGGTTCAATCCCCCAGTACTAATTTTTAAAAAAGAAGAAGAAAAACGCAATAGACAATGTAACATGGATGAACCTTGAAAACACTATGCTAACTGAAAAAACAGAAATAAAAGGCCACATAATGTAAAGTTCGATTTACATGAACTATCCAAAGCAGGCAAACCCTGTAACAGAAAGTACACATGGTTTCTTAGAGCTTCAGTGCATGATGGAAAGACTGGGAGTGATGGCTAAAGGGTATCAAGTTTCCAAGGCAATAAAATTAACTGTGTGAGGGCTGGGGATGTGGCTCAAGCTGTAGCGAGCCCGCCTGGCATGCTTGCAGCCCGGGTTCGATTCTCAGTACCACATACCAACAAAGATATGTGGCTCAAGCTGTAGCGAGCTCGCCTGGCATGCTTGCAGCCCGGGTTCGATTCTCAGTACCACATACCAACAAAGATGTTGTGTCCGCCGAAAAGTGAAAAAATAAATAAATATTTTTTAAAATTCTCTTTCTCTCGAAAAAACTTAAAAAAAAATGGATTGTGTGATGGTTAGAGAACTCTGTAGATATAATGAAAGTCAATGAATTAAAATAAGTGAATACACAGTTATGAACACACAGCTATGAACACACAGCTATGTATCTCAACAAAGCCATCTTTGTTTTTTTATTTTTGTTTTAAGTACAATGTCATGTACCTGCAGTCCCAGCTACTCAAGGAGGCTGAGGCAGGGGAAGCTTGAGCCCAGGAGTTGTAGGACATCCTGAACAACATAGCAAGAGCCTCTTTCTCTTCCTCTCTATTTCTGTTCAGGGGATTGAACTCAGAGGCTCTTGCCTTTCCATCGCATCTTCAGCCCTCTGTTGTTTTTAATTTTAAAACAGTCTTGCTAAATTGCTGAGAGTGGCCTTGAATTTTGAATCCTCCTGCCTCAGCCTCCCAAGTCACTGGGATTACAGGAGTGTACCTTCATGCCCAACCATCAAAAGCCCGATAGTATTAAAAAAAAACATTTTTTAAATTTTGGGCCACAGGTGTCTCCTTTCCCAAACTTCCCAAAAACACTATTCTAGCTGTGTTTTAAAAATGTATAAACAAAATCAAAATGCAAGATACTCAGTGTTTGTATTTAAAAAAGATTTGTGATTCGTATTTTTCTAACTGAAAAACTGAAAATTTCTGACCTAGGTGTCAAGAAATAAAAAGGGGAGGAGCATCGTAAAGTTCATATTTAACCTTGAAATTTTCTTTGGTATCTTCAAATCACAAATAGGTATTTCAGGGCTGGGGATGTGGCTTAAGCAGTAACAGGCTCGCCTGGCATGCGCGGGGCGCTGGGTTCAATCCTCAGCACCACAAAAAAAATAAGATAAAGATGTTGTGTCCACCGAAAACTAAAAAAAAAATTAATAAAATAATAAAATTAAAAAATAGGTATTTCAAGTACAATTTGTACTTTATCAGCAGTTTTCAATTTATAGTCTCAAACATGACTAGAAACAGAATTACAATTTAGCTTAAATTCTACCAAAAGTTGTTTAAAAAAAAAAAAAAATGTGAGCAATCAGAATCCTTAACTAACCCCTATTATGTTGAAAATAAAGCCCAAACTGTTTAACATGCCATTCAAGGCCTACTTGCCTGTGCCCAACCTTCTCTCCTACATTATCTGAAAGTGTTATTTTGCCTTTTAAATATAGAACTAAACCCCAAATGGAATTAACTGCTTTTTATGGTATGAAGGTAGGTTGTTTCTTCAAACAGGTCTAGCTATGTTTCAAAAATCTATATACAATTTTCCCAGCATTATAGAAAAGGCTCCTTTCCCATGTTTGTATTGTCCTTAGAAAAATCAACCACCCATACCCCAATACGTATGCATTTAGTTACAGTTCTAGGTTCTGTTGTATTAGTCTATTTGTCTAGTTTTCCATCAATATGAAATTATCTTAACTATAAGAGGCTTTGGTAGGCAACTGTTCTTCCATAAAACTTTTCACTATTCTTTTTTTTTAGTTGCAGATGGACACAATACCTTTATTTTATTTGTTTGTTTTGATGTGGTGCTGGGGATTGAACCCAGTGCCTCACACACGCTAGGCAAGCGCTCTATCACTGAGCCACAACCCCAGCCTATCACTATTCTTAATCTTTTGTATTTTCACATAAATTTCAGAATCATCTTGTCAAATTTTTTAAAAAATGATTTAAAATAATTGTACTGAATCCACGGATTAATGTATACTTCTGTCCACTTAAATCTTTCTTTAATGTTTTGTCAATGAAGCTTTATTATTTTCTGCATAAATGTGACATGAGAATTTTTCTGATTCATTCCTAGTAACTTCTTTTTAAAATCACATTGTAAATAGCAATATCATATCTGCACAATTATTGATAAATATAAAATTCATATTTATATTTATTGAACTAACTTGCTAATAATTATCTATAAATTGCTTTGGAATTTCCACACACTAATGCTATCATCAATAAAGTTAACAGTATCACTTTTGCCTCTCTAACACACATAACTTGTACAGCTTTGTCTTACCAGATCATAGACTGGAATCTATGATGATCAGAAGTGTTCACAGCAATCATGCTTGTCATAGTCCCCAAATTAAAAGTTTTCAAGTTTCAAAACTAAGAATGTTTATTGTACATATTAATGGAGATCAGTGTGATATTTTCATAGATGCACACAATGTTCACTAATCAAGTCCAACCTCCCTTTTCTCACACTCCCCATTGGCACATAACTTGTATAGCTTTGTCTATACAAATAAAAATAAAATAAAGATGTTGAACTTTATCTAGTAATATCTAGTAATCACTGCCCTACTTCCAGGTTGAACTTTTTTATAAAGTTTTCATACTGAAAGAGAACACACAGTATCTGTCTTTTTGCATCTGACTTATTTCATTTACCATAATGTCCTTCAGTTCCATCCATTTTACTGTAAATAACAGGTCTGTATTCTTTTTTGTTGTTGTTGTTTTTTAGCTGTAAATGCACACAATATCTTTTTTATTTATTTACTTTTATGTGGTCCTGAAGATGGAACCCAGTGCCTCATACATGGGAGGCAAGTGCCCTACCACTGAGCTACAACCCCAGCCCAGGACTGTTTGTGTTTGTTTTTTTTTTTCATACATGACAACAGTGGAATGCATTACATTCATAATTACCCATTCACAGTATTCTTTATGGCTGAATAATACTCCATTGTGTACATGTATCACATTCTTTTTTTTCAATTCTTATATCAACGAGCACTTAGGATGATTCCATCTCTTAGCTACTGTGACTAGTGTCTCAATACACATGGTTGTGCAAGTATCTCTGATATACTGACTTTATTGCTTTGGATGTGTACCCAGTAGGATAGCTGAATCATATTGTAAATCTACTTTTCTTTTTTCTTTTGTGTGTGTGTGTGTGTATCAGGGATTGACCCAAGAGCACTTAACCACTGAGCCACATCTCCAGTCCATTTTTTGGTATTATTACTTAAGAGACAGTGTCTCGATAAGTTGCTGAAACTGGCTTTTAACTCAAGATTCTCCTGCCTCAGCCTGCTGAACTACTGGGATTACATGCATGTGCCACCATGTCTGGCTATTCTGAACAGTATTCCATAGTGTTCTTCACAATGGCTGTACTAATTTACATTATAATCAGGTGTATCAGGTGTATAAGAGTACATTTTTCTCCACATTCTTGCCAGAATTTATTTATTTTTGCTTTTAGCCTTCCTAAGTGGAGTGATATATCTCATTATAGTTTTATTTGCACTTCCTGATGGCTAATAATATATATGTTGGTGATTTTTTAAAAATATTTATTTTTTAGTTGGACACATATCTTTATTTTATTTATTTATTTTTCTGTGGTGCTGAAGATTGAATCCAGGGCCTCGCACATGCTAGGCGAGTGCTCTACCGCTGAGCCACAATCCCAGCTCCTTGTTGGAGATTTGTATTTCTTCTTTTGAAACATGTCTATTCAGATCATTTGCCCCCTTTTAATTAGATCACTAGTACTTTTTGTTAAGTTTTTTGAATTCTTTATATATTCTTGACATTAACCTTCTGTCAGATGAACAGGTGGCAAATATTTTCTCTTATTCTATTTTTATTTTCACTTTGTTTGCTTTGATATGCAGAAGTTTTTGATTTCGGGGTATATCCCATTTGTCAATTTTCACTTTTGTTTCCTGTACTTTAGAAACTCTATTCTGAAAACCATTGCTTGTACCAATGTCTTGGAAGTGTTTTCCCTAAATTTTCTTCTAGTAGTCTCAGATCTTACATGTAGGTCTTTTTTTTTTTTTTTTTTAGAGAGAGTGAGAGAGGAGAGAGAGAGAGAGAGAGAGAGAGAGAGAGAGAATTTTTAATATTTATTTTTTAGTTCTTGGCGGACACAACATCTTTGTTGGTATGTGGTGCTTAGGATCGAACCCGGGCCGCACGCATGCCAGGCGAGTGCGCTACCGCTTGAGCCACATCCCCAGCCCCATGTAGGTCTTTGATCCATCTTGAGCTGGTTTTTGTAAAAGGTGGAAAACAGGGATAAAGTTTTAATTTTCCCCATGTGGACATACAGTATTCCCAGAACCATTTGTTGAAGAGGATGTACTTTCTCCAAGGCATACTTTGGCATCTGTGTGGAAAATCCTTTAGCTGTAGATGTTGTGTGGGTTTATTTCTTGATCATTATTCTATTCCATTGGCTTGCGTATCTGCTTTGTGCCAATATCATGCTGTTTTAACTAATGTGACTCTATTATGCCTTGGAATCTAGTATCTTGATGCCTCCAGCTTTGTCCTTCTTGCTCGAGATAGCTTTGACTATTTGAAATATTTTGTGCTTACATACGAATTTTAGTTTTTCCCACTCTGTGAAGAATATCATAGGTGTATTTTGATAGGATTGAACTGAATCTGTAGATTGCTTTGGGTAGTATGGACATTTTCACAATATTAATTCTTTCAATTCATAAACATGAGTGTTTTTTTTAATGTTATCTTTCATTTCTTTCAACGGTGTTTGAAATTTTTGTAATTTTCATTGTAGAAGTCTTTCATTTCCTTGGTTACATTTATTCCTGGGTATTTTTGTTTATTTGTAGCTATTGTGAATGGAATTGCTTCCTTGGTTTACTTCTCAGCAAGTTCACTAAAGGTGTATAAAATGCTACTTATTTTTTTATGTTGATTTTTGTATCATGCAACTTTACTGAATTCATTTATCAGTCCTAATAGTTTTTGATAGATTTTTTAGTTTGTTCTATATAGAGAATCATATAATCTGCAAACAGTGACATAACTTCCTCCCTTCCTATTTGTATGCCTATTTTTCTATCTCTTTTAATTCCTCTGGCTAAAACTTTCAGTACTCTGTTAAATAAGGTGAGAGTAGACATCCTTATCTTTTTCCAGATCGTAGAGGAAACATTAAAACTCTCCCCATTCAGTGTGAAGTTGGCTATGGATTTGTCATATGTAATCTTTACTATGTATAGTATGAGCCTTCTCTACCTAATTGGTTCAGAGCTTTAATCATACTTTAGTCATAAAAGCTTTAATCATAAAATTTTATGAAGTGTTCTTTCTTCATCTATTGAGATGATCATGATTTTTGTCCTTAATTCTGTTGATATGATAAACTCTGTTTACAGATTTGCATATATTGAATCATCCTGAAATTCCTGGGATGAATCACACTTAGTCATAGTGAATAATATTTTTGATATGCTATTGGATTTGATTTGCTAGTATTCTGTTGAAATTTTTTGCATATAATCAATAAGGACACTCATCTACAGTTTTTTTGTTGTTGTTGTATCTTTAGTTTTGGTTTCTAACTAATGCTGGCCTTGCAGAATGATTTTGAAAGGGTTCCCTCACTTTCAATTTTTTTGAACAGTTTGAGAAAAATTGGCATTAGTTCTTTATAAGTTTGGTAACATTCAGCAGTGAAGCCATCAGTCCTGGGTTTCTCTTTGTTGTAATTTTTTTTTTCTCCCTTGCAGTATATGAGATTGATCTCAGGGAACTCTCCCACTGTGCTACATCCCCAATCCTTTTTTTTTTTTTTTTTTTTTTTTTTTGAGACAGGGTCTCCCTAAATTGCCAAGGTTGGCCTTGAACATATAATCCTCCTGCTTCAACTTCCTGAAAAGTTGCAATTACAGGCATATGCCACTGTGACTGGCAATGCTTTGTATTTCTGTGGTAGTGTCTCTGTTCTCATCTCTAATTGTATTTAGTTGAGTCTCTTTCTTGGTTAGTCTAGCTAAAGGTTTGTTGGTTTTATCTTTTCAAAAACTATCTCTTACCAATAAAATAAACAAACCATCTCTCCTTTCATTGATCTTTTATATATTTTTTAACATTTTGCATGTATTTTTGCTTTGATCTTTTTTACCTTTTCTTCTACTAATTAAGGGTTTGGTTTGTTGTTGCTTCTCTAGTTCCTACATAAGCACTATGAGGTTATTCATTTGAAATCTATCTATTTTTTCTATGGAGGCATTTACTGCTATAAATATCCTTGTTAGTACTGCTTTCGGTATAGACAATTGATTTTGGTGTGATGTGTGTTCATTTTTAACATATTTGAGAAAAGTTATTTTTTCTTTTTCTTGCAGTGCTGGGGCTTTCCACATGCTAGGCAAACACTATACCACTAAGCTCCACATCCAGACCCTGGGAAGTTTTTTAATTTCCTTTTTTAACTCAGTAAGGCATTGTTTATTCAAAATTGTATTATTCGGTCTCCACGTATTGTGTAATTTCTTTTGTTGATTTCTAATTTTATTCCATTGTGATCAAAAGAATATGATTTCAATTTTTTTAAAGTTCTTTAAAATTCCATTGTGCCTTAACATATGGTCTATTCTAGGGAATGTTCCACATGCTGATGAAAAGAATGTGTATTCTGCAGCTGTTGGATAAAAAGTGTTGTACATGTCACGCCCATTTTGTCTACAACAGAGTTAACTGATGTTTTTTGCTTTTTTTGTCTGGGAGATCTGTCTAGTGATGAAAGTGGGGTGATGAAATTATTCGTTGTTATTGCACTGGAGCCTGTCCCTCCCTCTTGATTTAACTTTGTTTTATAAAACTGGGTGCTCCAGCGCTATGTGCATATACACTCAATTATATCTCCTTGTTGAATAGATCCCTTGATGATTATATAGTGTCTATTTCTTTTTTGTCTTAAAAGTTTATTTTGTCTGATATAAGTATAACTACTCCTGCCTGCTTCCATTTAATTTCTATTCAAATGGATTATTTTTTCCAACCTTTCTCTCTCAGTCTCTGTCTCTCTCCACTGATGAATTGAGCTGCTTCTAGGCAAAGTATCTTGGGTCTTCTTTTTTTATGTTATTCCACCAGTCCATAAATTTTAATTGGGGCATCTAGTCTGTTTGCATTTTAGGTTATTATTGTTAGGTAAAAGACTCCTGTAATTTTGTTAAATGTTCTTATGTTTTGGATATCCTTTGTTCTTCTCTTGCTATTCATCTTTGTGGTTTAGTAGTTTACTGTGTTGATAAAGATTGATTCTTCATGCTCTACTAGTGTGTTTTATATTTCTGTGTGTTTTCATGATGGCAGTTACCTTTCTTTCACTTCTGTATATTCAGCTCCCTTAAACATTCTTTGGAAAACTGGTCTGACGGTGGTAAATTCACTTTTTTCAATCTTAGAAGGTCTTTATTTCTCCTTGATTTCTAAAGAATAACTTTACTATATAAAGTATTCTTGGTTAGGATTCTTTTTTTTATTCTTCCCCCCAGGATGTATAATATATTATCCCATTCCCTCCCTCCTGACTTATAATGTTTCTGTTGAGAAACCCACTACTGGTCTGATAAAGGTCCCCTTAAATGAGACTTGGCACTTTTTTCTCTTGTTTTTAGAATACACTCTTGCAATAGGAGCAATAAGCACAAAAAAAAAATGCTCATTATTAGTTATCAGATAAATGTAACTGGATCCACTCCTAGATGGACCCACTAGAATGGCTAAAGTTAGAGAGTAATAATAAAAACTGCTACCAAGCTTTGAGAAGCTACTGAAATTCTTACACATTATGGGAACATAAAATAGTACAACCATTTTTTAAAAACAGTATACTGTTACCTTATAAATTAAATATATTTACCATAGGACACATTCATTCCTCTTGGGTATTTACCCAACAGAAAGGAAAAGATGAGTTCACACTAAAACATATATAGGAATATTCATGTTGCCATTATCAAAAATAAAAACAATCCAAATCTCCATCAGATGGCAGATACATAAATTGAAGTATACATACATATATACACAAAAGAATATTACTGAGAAATTAAAAGGGACAAAATATTAGTGTACACAGCATGGATAAATTTCAAAACATATGCAAATTCAGAATTAGGCAACTTTTTCTAAAAAGGATCAGACAGTAAAATTTTTAAGTTTCTCAAGTTATACAGTCTCTCTGTCACAACTACCCATAACTTTGCTCTTATACCACAGAGCAACCATAGACAATGCATAGGAAGGAATATGACTGTGTTCGAATACAACATCATTTACAAAAACAGGCAGACAGTTGAATGTGACCCATAGAGTATGGTTTGCTGACACCTGTGCTAAGTAAAAGAAGTATTCCTCAAAAAAACAGAATAGACTTTAAAATTCTTTGTAAGCTTCGAAGTACTCAGCCAAATGCTAATAAGGCTATTTTAAATACTACATAAATGAATAAAAAGAAGTCAAGATAGTTATATTAGGAAGAAAATACCTGTGAATCTGATCTTGTCTACTAGAGCGAACTGGAGCTAATCCATCTATTTCATCAAAAAATATTATAGAAGGTCTCATCAAGTATGCCTAGCAAAAAAAAACACATATATGTTGTTTATTATATTATTCTCATATTTAAATTTAATTGTTGTATTTTCTTAAAAGTACTATAAGTAAATGGTACAAAATGCAGCATATTCTACAAAAGAGTATGTGGTATAAAGGAAACCTCTTTACCACCCAACCACAAAATAAGGTCCCAAGAATAAGCAACTACTGTTTTCAGTTTGCTTATTCTTCCATACCTATTTAAATGTTCAAATGAAAATGTGTTCTTATAACATAAAAAAAAAATAGTACACTAAACACATTCCTTTTACCATGTAACATGAATTTTAACTGAATTTTTTTTTAATACAACTGTAGATGGAACCCCGGTTGTCATCTATGCTAAGTAGGAGCTCTACCATTGAGCTGCACCCCCCATTTCAGCCCTAATATCTTTTATTAATATAACAATATATCTTAATTAGCTTCCACATATTTTCCTATCATTAAAAAATCATAACTATCAGCAATATTTTTTAAAAAAGCAAACATTTCATCTAGCCCTACTTACCAAGAAAACTATAAAATAGAAATAAAGTAATTTAGATATAAAAAGCTACAAGATTTAGGGCCATAGTCTTGAATGAAAATAAGTTATACTCAAATCACCAACATAAATTGATGAAAAAAGCTCAAAAATTTTTAAATGAGTTCATTGGATAATATGCCTGTACTCCTAAGTCAATTCTTTTCTTTTTTGTTGTTGTTGTTTTTTGTGCAATGGTGGGAATTGAGCCTAGGATATACTAGGAAATGCTCTACCACTGAGCATATCACCAGCCCTTTCCTTATTTTATTTCTTAATAGGGTCTCTGTAAGTTGCCCAGGCTAGCCTCAAACTTGTAATTTTCCTGCCTTAGCCTACCTGTACCTGAGATAACAGGCTTGATCCACCACACCTGGCTATGTTTACATTTATATTTTTCAATTTTTACTAAACTTTTGAAGTATTCAGTCTGTATACGTTTGACTTCTCACTAGACACTGAACACCTTGAAGATTCTTACCTATCCTCTATATCTACTACCTAGATTATAACAATTTTTGATACTAATAATAATTCTTACACATTTGAACTTCTTTACAAATAACAAAGGACTTTCATACACCTCAACTCAGAAATAGGTGCTGAATAAATGCTTGAAAGCATTTTGTACTTCATATTTATCTGCTTAGACAAAATCATTATAAACTGAACTGCCAAATATGATCAGCTTCCTTTATTAATTTAACCATAAGTAAATTTATATGAAGACCAGTTTCTATAAGGTATAGAAAAATAATTACTTTTTTATTTTTTTGGAGACAGAGTCTCAACCTGGTCTCACCAGGTTGGTCTTGAACTCCTGGACTCAAGTGATCCTCCCAGTATCCCAAAGTAGTTGGGCTGCAGTTAGGAATGTTAGGAAATAACATTTTTAAAGTTATTGTTTTGTATAAAAAAGTAGAGATAGCCTATACAACATTCATTCATCTCACTCTGCCTTTTAAAATAATTCATTTATTACTGAATTCATTAGGCAACAAATTTTAAATTGGATGTGGTTTGGATAAATGTTTCCCAAAGGTCCATGTCTTGAAGGCATGGTCCCTAAGGTGGTGCTTAATTTAGGAAGTGGTGGAAGCTTTAGGAGGTAGAATCTAGTGCCAGATACTCAAAACCTGAGGCATGTCCTTGAAGAGGATTGACTATAGGACATTGGCCTCTTCCTCTCTAACTTTTTGCTTCCTAGATGATAAGGTAAGCAGCTTTGCTCTAACAAATACTCCTGCCATGATGTGCTTGCTATCTTCCCAGAGGCCTCCAACCAAAGGAGCCAATCAATCATGGACTGAAACCTCCAAAAGTCAAAATAAACCTATAATCTTTATAAGTACATTTTCTCAGGTATTTTGTTATATAGTAACAAAACTAACAACTCATGAAAATAAATAACATACTACTTTGGGAAACTTTTTTCACAAATACCCAACATTTTATGCTGAACTATTTCCTCAACTTGATTATAATCTAATGATTATACTAAATCCTGGGTTCTCAAAAGCACCTAATACAGTATTATATGCCTGTTGGCAACTTCAATAAATGTTTTACGAATCATCGCAAATATTCAAAAGTGTTAGTAAAACAGATTTGAAATAAAATAAGCCTTCCCATATCCATGGATTCAACTACAGATCAAAATGTATAAGAAGGGGCTAGGGGGGCTGGGGATGTGGCTCAAGCGGTAGCGCACTCGCCTGGCATGCGTGCGGCCCGGGTTGGATCCTCAGCACCACATACCAACAAAGATGTTGTGTCCGCCAAGAACTAAAAATAAATATTAAAAATTCTCTCTCTCTCTCTCCTCTCTCACTCTCTCTTTAAAAAAAAAAAAAAAGAAGGGGCTAGGGTATAGCTCAGTGGTAGAGTGCTTGCCTAGCACAGGTGAGGCACTGGATTCGATCCTCTGTACCATATAAAAAAAATAAATAAAGCTATTATATATATATATATAATAGCTTTATTTATTTTTATATATATGTGATAAATATATGAGATAACTTTATGTGTGTATTATGTTTATAATAACTTATGTGTGTGTGTTTTAAAATGTTGAAGAAAAAAACTGCACCTGTACTTAACATACACATTCTTTTACTGTCATTATTCCCTAAACAATACAATGTAACTACTATTTATACATCATTTACATTGTATTAGGTACTATAAATAACCTAATGATGATTTCAGATATGTAGGAGTATAGCTAGGCACTATGGCCCATGTCTATAATCCTGTGATTTGCAAGACTGAGGCAGGAGGAATGCAAGTTTGAGGCTATCCTCAGCAACTTATTAGACCCTCTCAAATTAAAACGTAAAAAGGACTGGAGATGTAGCTTGGGGGTAAAGGGTTCAATCCCCATAATAAGTACCCCCCACCAAAATACGGCCTATAGAAGGATGCACGAAGGCTATATGCAAATTCTACATTAATTTATATGTGGAAGTTGAATATCTGCAAATTTTTATATCCTTGGAGGGTCCTGGACTCAATCCCCCATAGATAATGAGGAAATAATGTACTTCTAAGGCATATAATTTCAGATTATTGACCCTAAATTACAGATAATGCTCAGAAAATATGCCTCCTCAGTAACTGTAATTGCAGGCAAATTGTACTAATGGTCTAAAAAAAATATTTTCCATTTAGGTGATTTCTCTTACCTGATCAAAAAGAAGCCTAAGTTGCCTTTCAGACTCACCAACCCACTTGCTCAAACAATCCGCTCCTTTTCGCATAAAAAAAGCCACTTTTTTGTCTCCTTGACTGCATTCATTAGCTAATGCTCTGGCAACCAAGGTTTTACCTGTGCCAGGAGGGCCATAAAACAGACAGCCCCTAGAGAAATAAAGAATTTTTAAAAAAGAAAAAAAGTAAATTAATCTTATCACTACTGACAACCAATTTAAAAGGACATTTCTTCCCCCATGTAATTTTATATTAATGTATATTATAATTATTAAGCATTGATAAATTTTTTTCCAGTATACAAAAAAGTTTCACTTTGTTGAGTCTTTAAAGTACCAATCTTTGGTAGGTAAGAAACGGTTGAAACACAGGATAACTTGGCAAGATAATGCAAAATTTTAAATGTGTTTCCCTATGACCCAGGAACTTCACATCTTAGAATACATTATACAGAAATTTAGTCCCTGTATTGGGAAAGTTGTACCAAAGACCTTAGACTCTGGTACTGGGGAAGTTGGAGCAGGAGGATCTCTTGAGCCCAGGAGTTTGATGCCAGTCTGGGCAACACGAGGAGACCATGTCTCTTTAAAGAAAAAAAAAGTAGGAGAATGAAGATAGCTTTAATAAGTGTTCAACAAAGCATGGTTTTCTAATTGTAAAAATTTGAAAAAAAAAATTCTATTAAGTAGGAGAATGAAGATAGCTTTAATAAGTGTTCAACAAAAATTTGAAAAAAACTGCTATTTAATAAATAAGGGAAAGTTAAATTTGCTATTCCATCTATAAAATTAAAAAATTAGTAAGGTGTCAAAAAGAATAGCACAGAGGTGGGAGGAAAAGGGAGGGTCAAAAAAGATGGTGGAATGAGGTGGATATCATTAACCTAAGTACATGTAGGAAGACACAAATGGTGTGAATATACTTTGTATACAACCAGAGATATGAAAAATTGTCCTCTAGGGGCTGGGGTTGTGGCTCAGTGGTAGAGTACTCGCCTAGCAGGCATGAGGCACTGGGTTTGATCCTCAGCACCACATAAAAATAAAATAAAGATATTGTGACCACCTAAAACTAAAAAATAAATATAAAAAAATAAAAATTGTGCGCTATATGTGTAATATGAATTGTAATGCATTCTGATGTCATATATAACAAATTAAAATAAAAAATACAAATAAAAAATGTTAAGATAAAAATATTTTAAAAACTGAAAAAAAACCAGAATAGCACATTATTGATATGGGAAGTTGTCTAGAATATGTTGTAGAGTGAAAATCAAAAAGTTACACATGACTATCAATGAATAATATCATTTATATTTTTAATGTTTATGCTGTATAATATAGGTAAAATATAAATAACATATGCATAAAAGAAATCTATAAAAAATATACCAAAGTATTCATCTCTAAGGAATAGGGATACCATTATCTTAGTGGTGGGAAATTTGATAGCATATTTTCTGCTCACAACACTGTTTTATTTAAGTTTCTCCCAAGGATACACTACATTAATAGCTTTTAAAAAAAGTAATATAATTTTTTAAATTTAAGTCACATAAAAGACAAATAATTGCTATTTTGATTTTTAAAAGTCACTATAAAATTAAAGGCCAATTTTTAATCCATTTAAATAGAAAGTGACTATTAATACAATTTTCCATATCCTTAAAAACATAGAAAATAAGTTAGAATGAAATCTAAATTAAAAAGTACTTCCTCTATGAAAACATTTATCAGTTTAAATCTAGCAATCTAAATATATATCTTCAGAATTATTTTATTCGACCCAAGCTCATTTAACATAATTTCTCATTGCCTTTTCTAATAGTTTAGCTATTAGAATTACTTTAGCTAACCATCTCATGATCAGACACAATCTGATCATAAAAAATAAGTTATCAAGCTTACCCATCATCAAGTCAAAGAAACACTTTAATGAAATTATACTTGCAAGACTAACAACACATAGCATCAAATTCGATGCTCGTAGGAAGCCAAATTCAGAAAAATCCATTTGGGCACCCCAGTTGTATATTCAGGGACCACATAAAAAATCTTATCTTGTGCCTGACTCCTAAATCCTAAAATGGAAATTTCAAGAGCACACTTACTTCCATAGCTTTTGAGCCCCAAAATAATAAAATTTCATTCCTAATCCTCACTGCTAGAATATGTCAAGTAAATACACAAGAAATATTTACATTATAATCATTTACTAATTGCTTAAAATTTGATAAATTAACAGTAGTAACAGTAATAAATATCTTACATACCTGGGAGGCTGAATTTTAAATTTTTCAAAAATTTCTGGATATAAAAGTGGAAATACTACCATCTCCTTTAGTGCATGAATATGCTGACTCAATCCACCTATGCTATCAAATCGTACCTTAGGGAAAGAAAAAGGAAAATTTTAACAGAATAATCTCAGAGAATTTTTGAAATTTATAAAATAGTTTTATGATTCAGAAATGCATGCCTTCAGCAGATTTTGAACATCAGTACATACAAATAAGTACACAAAAATAAAATCAATAATAAAATTCAAGTTTACATTTCACATCAGGCAAATTCCACTCTTTAATCTACTAACTCGGGAGCAAGATTAGTGCCCATCCTAAACACTGAGTATCTACAACAGATGTTATATTTATATTCTAATAGAAACCCCTTTAAAATCATATATCTCATGTTTCTCGGCAGGTATGGCTTACTGGCTTACAGGACAAACTGGCTTATAGGTAGGAAGCGAAAAATCTTGGTTATTACAATGGTTCTCTAAAACTGTTTGACAAATCATATTCTCTAATATTTAATTTCTCCAGTTAGAAAGTTTTCTACGTATGAGATATGAGACAATAATTAAACAGAGTAACACCAATCAATCATAAGAAGCAACAAAGATTGTTCCTCTCACCCATGATAGTTTAAGTAGCTAAAATACTTTATAAAGAAAAATGTGTAGAGAAAAAAATGCTTAAAGGAAATTTTATCAAAATGTAAACAGTGATTGCCTCTGACTACTGGATTATGGTAGATCTCTTTCCCTGCTTCTTTATTCAGTAATGGTACTTAAAACTGTTTCACAATGAATATATTACTATGAGAGGAAAAACCTTAAGTAAAAATAGAAAAATTAAAGTAGAGATTAAATAACAGAAACCTTCTAAAAGAAGCTAAATTTTCCTATGTATAAGGAAGTATGTTATTCTAATTAGTAGAGACATCTTAAGTTAATAGATTCAAGAGAGTAAGGTGCTAGTAAACCAAATAAGTGAACATAATAAGGTAAGGTACTCTGAGAAAAGGTATTATTTTCTAGGGATTTTGGAAATATTTATACACTGAAATTCCTCAATAGTTAAATGAATATCTTAATCTATAAATTCAGATTGGAATAATTTTCATTTTCAAATATATATATATGCAATCCTATTTGATAATTCTCATATGGGAATCAGTTAAAACATGTTGTATAGAAATGCATAAGAAAACAAGAAAAAAATAAGTTCTTGTTTATACAGTAATCTTACTCCAATGTACTCCCCAAAGTAAGATAACTACTAACAGTGGAAAATAACCTTCAAGCTGCATATTAGCCCATAGATTTTTTTCATAATGCCAAACCCAAACAACACACTGCCTGCAAGTTACTTCTTGTGGTATACCACAGATATCTCTAAAACTAATTAAACCATCTTCCCATCTCTCTCACGCCTTCTCTTACATACTCTACTTCAGCTAATGAAGCCGTCCATCATCCATCCAATCTACCCATTCACTTAAGCTAAAAACCTGGGTAATAACCTCAACTTGTTTTTATCATTCTCCAATACCTCTTAATTCACCAAATCCTGTCATAAATCTAATTCAACCCTTAATTTTCTCAACTCCATCTACTTTTCTCTACTAAACCTACTTTCTACCATTACTCCAGATTACTAGCCTGCAAATGACATCCAAACCAGTATCTGTAATGCCAGCCTTGCTTGTTGCTTAACAACACCATAGCCAGAATGAGCCACCTAAAATCAGTTTATAAGTAGTTTAATTGTTTATGGCTTATGCAGCCCCTCACTATCCTTTCAGCTTCATTCTTACTACATTCTAGTAACTGAAATGGAAAAAAGAAACAAACCCACCTAAATAAGCATCACATGAGACTAGGGTTCTTAGGTTTAACAACATATGAAAACATTAATAGTGGCCATATATTAAAAAGTTTCTATTTATATCATATGTTGCTTTAGAAATAAGGAAAAACTTTTTTTACATTTACAGAACTTACTGATTTATCAATGTTCATTGGGTCAACATCAGCCAAGCTTGCACCCACTTTCACTCGTTCTCGGAGAATACCACTAGCTAAGTCTTCTGCTCTGAAGTTCATAGGCAAACACCTGAATTTATAAAAATCAAAGTTAACAGCATTAAAGGTTTCACATTTTTAATGCCAAAATAAGTTGAGTTGATATTTTTTAAGCACTTTCATCTTTCCCTCTTTTTGCATAACCTAAAAATAACAAGTGATTGCGTTTCCGTGGGGGGTACTCAACCACTGAGCCACATCCCTAGCCCTATTTTGTATTTTGTTTAGAGACAGGGTCTCACTGAGTTGCTTAGTATCTCACTTTTGCAGAGGCTGGCTTTGAACTCGCTATCCTCCCACCTCAATCTCCCAAGTCACTGGGATTATAGGTGTGCTCCACTGCACTTCTCATAATTGCATACTTTAAACTACTTTTCCTGTTTTCAACTGTCCAAAAATAGAGTTACTCGTAGGTAAATAAGATACTACTCTATTTGTCAAACTATCTCAATATGGAAAAAACTCTTAATATAATTAACATTTCATATTAATCAGCTATAAAGGTAAATTTATATGTCCTATACAATTTAAAACCAAAATAAGGTCAATATTATAATACTTAAGATTCATTCTCCAATTTTGAGGATATACCCATCAGTTTATATGATTTAAGAAATTACTTTCCCTTTTATTCAAAAAAATCAATTCCTGATCATAACTTTAGAACTAAATTTTATCTTTAATAAAACTATCTTAAAAGAAATATTTAGGGCTGGGGTTGTGGCTCAGAGGTGGAGCGCTCGCTATCACGAAGTGAGGCACTGGGTTTGAGCCTCAGCACCACATAAAAATAAAATAAAGATATTGTGTCCACCTATAACTAAAAAATAAATATTTAAAAATAAATATTTAGCCACCTAAAATCCTATACTACTACATTATTTTGATTGTGTTATCCCAAGTAAATGTAATCTAATTTCTCTTTTAACTTTGAGCAATGCTATGATTTGAGTGTGGTTTATCTCCCAGGGTCCGTGTTGGGAGTCTGTTCCTTAGTGTGGTAATATGGGTAGTGGGATCTTTGAGATAGGGTAACAAAAGGTTGTCCTTTGGTCACCAGAGACATACCTTCAGAAGACATACCCTTACATAGGTCATGTGAGATCTTAATTGGTACCCAGTCTCAGATTCTGACTTCCTGTCTCATATGCTTCCACCATGATAACATGTGCTATGATGTAATGCAACCATCATCAGGGCATGCACCATGATGTTTGCACTTTTAACTCTTTTAACTTCCAACACTGTGAATACATAAATCCTTACTCTTTACAAAAAACCCAGTCTCAGAAATTTCATTATACTAATATACTGATATAAAAAAAGGACTACCACATGTAAAATCAAAATATGACATAAAGGAAGACACAGTGGCGCATCCCTGTAATCCCAGCAGCTCGGGAGGCTGACAGGAGAATCTTGAGTTCAAAGCCAGCCTCCCCAATTTAGTGAGATCCTAAGCAATTCAGTGAGATCCTGTCTCTAAATAAAATATAAAATAGGGCTGGGGATGTGGCTCAGTTGTTGAGTGCCCCTGAGTTTAATCCCTGGTACTCGCACCCCCCAAAAATGACATAAGAGCCTTAAAAAAGCTCAGTTTCTATGATGAAAGTAGACATTTCTGAATCCTCATGAACCTTAAAAATATATCTCCAAAATTATCAGAATAACTTAGATTAAGCAGCCACAGCATCACATGCCTATAATCCCAGCGGCTCAGGAGACTGGGGCAGAAGGATCATGATTTCAAAGCTAAACATCAGCAACTTAGAGAGCCCTAAGCAACTTTGTGAGACCTTGTCTCAAACTAAAACCTAAAAAGGTCCGAAGATATGACTCAGTTGTGAAGCGCCCCTGAGTTCAATCCCCAGTACCAAAATAACAAAAAAAAAAAAAAAAAGAAGAATTCAGATTAAACAGGCTTTGAATTATTTAATTTAAACTTAAGCCAGACACAGTGGCATGCACCTGCTGTCCTAGTTAATCAAAAGGCAAGACAGAAGACTCTCTTAAACACAGGAGTTTTTTTAGCATACAATCTACACCAATCCAAACCTGATTCTAAAATCTGCTAACTAAAAACTTGATATTTCTACAATATACATGTAAGGCCAAATTATAGAAATGGTCTGCTAAATGTCCATTTTCTAAATATAATTTTTCTTTATTATTATAATATATATAAGCTCAAAAATTAACACAATTTTTTTAAATGATTTGATGATTTGATTATTTGATCATTTTATTTTTAAATGATTTGATTATTTCCTACGCAAAAATTCACTGAAGTTTTAGTGAGCCATGTAATAATCAGTCAATTACTGGAGTCAGGAAAAGATCACTATAGACAACCAATAACAATGAAAAAAGGAAGGAAGAAAGGAAGGGAAAAAAAAAAGTTTTCAAGAAAATCCAAAGCCTCCTCAGATAGTTCTATCAGAATGCATCTTTCTCTGAGCACTATTCTCATTAGAGTGTGAAAAAAAGCCAAATTAAATGGATATGAATGAGAAGGAAAGTGCAGAGGGATAGACAGATGCTTTCACAAAGGCTGGCCTCTTCTTAGCTCTCCTTCCTCTCCCCTCCCAAATTACTTGATCACAAGTATTTACAGACTAATTAATTTAGGGAACATTTCCCAAGGTTAGATTTCCATTTTAAGAAGTATAAAGTCTAAAATTACTGTTGAATATCAATGTTATCAAAATTTCAGTATACATAAAAAACTTTTTCTGTGTGATTTTGTTTTGTTTTAAATGTGTTCCTTTTTTCTACCATGGAAAAAATACTAAAATATTTACTGACCTATTTCTTGCTCTCGCCATGCTCTTTGATTTCCTTCTTTCAAAGCGCTCTTCATCAGAAGAAGTCGTGTCACTACTATGGATGGCATGCTTCTTTCTCCTGTCCAAAGAGAGCAAGATGTTTTAAAACATTATAGTATAACAAACAGCTTTTAAGAATATATTGGAAGGGGGCTGGGGATGTGGCTCAAGCGGTAGCGCGCTCGCCTAGCATGCGTGCGGCCCGGGTTCGATCCTCAGCAGCACCACATACCAACAAAGATGTTGTGTCCGCCGAGAACTAAGAAAAAATAAATAAA